GCCAGGCCTGGGCGGAGCGCGGAGAGCTGGGTGCAAGGGAAGCGGCGCCGGAGCACCGGGTTGGTCGGGCCGGAGTGGGCCTGAGGAGGACGTGAGCAAGGTCGGAGCAAGATGGCGGTGCAGGTGGTGCAGGCGGTGCAGGCGGTTCATCTGGAATCTGACGCTTTCCTAGTTTGTCTCAACCATGCGCTGAGCACAGAAAAGGAGGAGGTGATGGGGCTGTGTATAGGGGAGGTGAGTAGGTCAGCCTGGCGGCGAGCCCGCTGAGCAGTCCCCAGGAGTCCCCGGGGCAGCTGGGAGGCCACAAGAACCTCCGACCCGGATCCTTGGACATTCTCTGGATGGCTCTCTTGCGGGGCCTTTTCCTCTAGCCCCCTGACCCTGGCTTATCCTCCTGCAACCCTCCAGCGATCTGCCTAGACCCACGGAGAGGCTTCCTACTGAGGTTGTCACCCCACTGACCAAAAGTGCAAGTCAGGGCCAAAAGCATTCGGTAGAATGAGGACATCGAGGTATGAGGAAGCAGCGAAGTACGTCTAGAGCCTCGCTCCCCGCCGCCAGTCTTCCCTTTAAGGAAGCGGAGGTGGCCACAAAGCGTTTAAAAGCTTAGCGAAGATCCTAAGAGTCAAGAAGGATTTCGTGGACCCGAAAGCGTTCCAGAGGGGCAAAAGTGAACTAGGAAATATAACTTAGCTATTTATAATCCAAAAATTTCTCTAGTCTTTGATGCTGGTGTCAGTGAACGTATGACCTAATTTTCATAGAGTCTGCCTCCCGGTAGTCAATTAAGCGTACTGTGATCAATAATGTTTTCTGTTCCTTCCCACTCTAGTTGAATGATGACACAAGGTAAGACTATATTTATTTATTCATATCTTGTGATTCTTAAGTTGCTGTTAAAATTATGACGTCTGGTAGCGTTGTGTACGGATTCTGTGTTAAATTACCATTACAACTTCAGAACACCCTCGGGTCTGTAGTTTGAGTTCCACACCAACCCTGAAGGTTTATTTCTGCCTAACTTCTTAATAGGAGGAATTTCACTCGAGGTACATATGACCTTATGTTAAAAATATGATTAGGGTAACCGGATCATAAGTGAACCTGTTAAGGTTCTTAGAAATAGAATTTTAGCTCTTAAATTTCTTTTCTTTTCTTTCTTTTTTTTTTTGTATCAAGAATCGAACTCAGGACCTTGTGCTTGCTGGGCAGGCACTGTGCCACTGAGCTACATCCCCGGCCCTAGAAATACAATTTTATAGACATAAATAAAGGCAGCATGTTGAAAAGACTACCAATATGTTTCACATTTAGTGCTATTATTTTTCCTTTTCTTGCGTGATGTGTTTTATGTTCCTTCTCCCTGAAATGTCAGTGAGATACCAATAATTTTCATCGTGGCAGATAATGTACACATTCAGAGGCTTTTCCCCCTTGATCCACTCCTCTATCTAACTAATGGCTTTCTGCCTTCTCCCTTGCTACACCCTATGTGATCCCAGTGATCCCCAGTAGCTTAAATCCTAGAGGGTCAACCCTTTGGGTAACATTTGCTTAAATTTCAAAGCATAGCTTACTATATTTCTCCTTAATACCCAGAAGTCCTGTCTAGCAACTCCAGCCTCATTCGCTTTCCCTCCTGTTTTGTTTCTGCTAAAGTTACATTGCAAAAACTGTTAATCCAGTTGCTTTGCTTTAATTCCTTTTCCTATTCCAAACCCAAGTTCCCCTTCCCCCTAATTTATCTCCAATAGGAGTGACTCCAAATTTGCATATACTGGAACTGAAATGCGCACAGTTGCTGAAAAGGTATGTGTGCTGGAATTCTGCATGATGGCAGCTTGCAGCTGGGGAGGGATTTCTGTACTTTGATGACCTCAGCCAGATTATCAATCCAATCTGTCTGGGTAGGGGGTTCTTTCCAGAAAAATCAGAAGAGAAATCTACCCATTAGAAATGGGATCTCATTTTCTGTTCTTTTTAGCAATTTGTCCTCCTTCATCAAAATGAGTAATCACTATCAGTACCACTCTCTTCTTCCCGGTCCATCACTGCCTGTTTCTGACCCTTCTCCCTCCTTCCTTGAGACTTTGGCATTTGGTTCACTGCGTTGTCACCTCTTTATCCTGAGTCTCAGCAGCTACTTGTGTACTCCTTCTCTTCTTGCAGTCAAACGATCCATATTAGCATAGTTCTTACTACTTTGGCTTTTCTCCTGTCTGCACTTCTACCCCACCTTTTTTGGCATGCACTAGCCTAACTGTGGTATAATCTTGGTGAATTTTCCTCCTAATATATCACAAATACCTTCGTAAAATACAATAAAAATGAATTACTTCCCTCCCCTTCTTCGAAGCTCTTAGGCAACAACTCTACTTACTTATCCTTATATGTAGACTTCTCCATCTTAACCACTTAGGGTCTTTTCTTCCTATATCAGGAAAGGTCTCTTTCTCTCAAAGCTGCTGCTGATTCTACTCTCCAGCCACCTCATTGGTGCTTATCTTTCTCCCTGAAACTGGATGTCCCTGGATTTTTGTTTTGTTGCATTGTGCTTCTTTTATTCCTCTCCTTTCCCCTACATCCTTTATGAACTCTTCCTTCTCTGTCTGTACATTAAATGTCATTCCTTGTAGGCACTGAAACCTCTAATGTGTGAGTGTGTGTGTGTGAGAGAGAGAGAGAGAGAGAGAGACACAGATAGAAATAGAGACAGAGTTAGTTTACCCTGAGCACCAACTGCTAAAATATATTCTGCAACTTAATGATATGATTTTTGAAGGCTTATATCATCTTGAATTTTATATAAATTTGTTTTGTCTAAATTAGATGTTAAACTTCATGAGTTTAGCAACCTTAGCTTTTTTAGTTAGTGTACATTTTTTATCCTTTTTTTTTAGCCTTTCCATGTATTAATGTTTAAAATATGTCTAATTGTCACATCATTTTAAATAATATAGACGGATAATCTTTTTAATTAGAGTATTTACTTCAGTTACATTTAATGTAATAACTAATATGTATTAGTTACAATTGCCATCATTTTGCTTTCTATTTGACCCACTTTTTGATTTGTATTACTTTTCTTTCTTTTCTTGCCTTCTTTTGGGTTAATCAAATATGTTTCTTATTGTGGTTTTTGTTTAGCTTATAAGAAAAGTGAGTGGGGCCGGTGATGTAGCTCAGCAGAACAGGCACCTGCCTGGCAAGCGCAAGGTCCTGAGTTCAATTCCCAGTACCAAAAAAAAAAAAAAAAAATAAGAAAGGTGAGCGGCAGCCACAGGTATTGGGTTGACCTGAGCTATCAGTCTCTCCAGGTTGCTCTTGCATGCAGTTGGAGATCCTGTGGCCACCCCAGCCACAGCCCTTGGAAACATGCTGTCAAATATGTTTTCTTGGGCTGGGAATATAGCTCAGTGGAATTGCGCCTGCCTGGCAAGCACAAGGTCCCGAGTTCGATTTCTCGTACCAAAAAAATATGTTTTCTTAATTTTGCTTAAACTCTTCATTAGTTATAACATTCTTTTTCTATCCTTTTAGTGGCTATGTTACATATTATAATATGAACTTCTGATTTATTAGCATTTCCCCCATAATACAGATGCTCTTTAATTTACAATTTGGTTATGTCCCAATAAAACCAGTGGGCTTAATACAGGGACATTAGACTGAAAATTTTATAAGCCAAAGATGCATTTAATATACCCAAACCACCAAAGTATATATCAGTAATTTGGGAAAAGATCAAATATAAAAGTACAGTTTCTGGTGAATGCATATTGCTTTCACACTATGATAAGGTTGGGGACCATCTGTTCTAGAACATTAGAACATTTTGTTTTTGTTTATTCCCTCTCACCTTGTGGGTTATTGTTGACATTTTAAGTCTATGGCTATTTTAAGCCTCACGTGACATTGTTAAGTTAATGCAGTTAATATTCATTGTATTTACCCAAATACTTAATCTCCATGGTGTTTGTCACTCCTTCATTTTTGGGATTTCCTGTGCAGATAATGAATATCCCCCATTGTGCATTTGAAAATCTCTTTATTTTGCCTTAATTTGCCTTAACTTTTGAAGGATATATTGTTTCAATATAGAATTCTTCGTTGGCAGATACTCTTTTAGCATCTCGTTCTCCTTGGGTTTTCATTGTTTCAGGTGAAAAGCCAGCCGTCTTTCTTTCTTTGAAAGGCTGTGCATCCTTTCTCTCTCTGCTTTTGTTTTCTTAATGCCTGTCAGGCATTGTACTGGTTGCTGGCAATAAAAACATACATAAAACAAAGTCCTTGCTCTTAAGCTTACACTTCAGTGGGAGAGAAAATTGTGTGACATAAATAGAACACAAGATGTTTTCTAACAGTTAGAAGTGGGTAGATATTATACGAGAAGTCATATGCAGAAGAAAATAGTTTTGACAGGATGATCAGGAAATTTTAAAGATATGAAAGAGTCGACCATGTGGGGAAAAGAAAAGCACCCTGGGAAGCACCCTGTGAGTAGAAGGGACAGGATGTGAAAAGGTGTGGTGTCTAGGGAGCTCCAAGCAGCCCAATAATGCCAGAGATCTACATGCTTTTTAGCAGGATAGCACTTGGGCAGCTTTCTGTTTATTAAAGAAAGTGGAAATATGGTTATAAAAATAGTCAGCATTTAGTATCAAAGGCTCCCTTGTTTTGAAAATCAGTTCTAAAAAAAAAAAGAAAGAAAAAAAAGAAAATCAGTTTTACCATTTTTTTCTTTTTTTTTTTTCATACTGGGAATTGAACTCAGGACCTTGCACTTGCCAGGCAGGTGCTGTGCCGCTGAGCTATATGCCCGGCCCTCATGTCATTAAACCTCTATAAAGTAGAAATTGAGCTGATTTGGTTAGATAGCTTTCTTGTTTAAAAAGATTACAATTGCAAGCTGAATGTAAAAGTAAATAAAATCTTTTCTTATCTATTTATAGCAGAATGCCAAAAATCGATAAAATTTTGGTCTGTCCATTAGAAATATAATCTTGGGCTGAGGATGTAGCTTAGTACGTGGAGTGTTTGCCTAGCATGCATAACACCTCGGGTTCCATTCCCATGACAGAATTATATAAGGGATGATAAAAATATAGTGAATGTTTAGGCTTGAAAAGAGCTTACTTAAACATTCACCCTATATTATGATCACCCGTCATTGCTCAACCATTTGTGGCAATTTCTATCAAGTAAAAACATGATGATGTGTCATCACCATCCTTACTCATTGTATCTGAAACCTTGTGACTTTGGTCTCTTCCCCAAAATGACGGTGAAAAGTAAATGTTTTGGAACAATTCAGGACATTGAGATAGTCGCGATAGGAAAGAGGGCTTCCAGAACTGCTTCAGAAAATGGCAAGAAACGTGGGATCAGTATGTTTCAAGCATGAGGGAATATTTTGAGGGGGATTCATGACAAGTATGTCTTTCACTGTAATACATTTTTGGGGGAAGATTTTTCGAAACATTCTTTGCGGGTTTTGATTGCATGCCGAACTTGTGGTACATCTGAAAGCAGACTTGCCACACTTCGGGGGCTTGGTAGCCATGGCTCTTACATTGCCCAGTGTGCTCTCTAGCTTACTTCAAAGGCTTCTTAGATTTTCCATCCTTGTCCCTTCAGTGTCTCGCAGTGCAAATCCATCTTTTCCCCTGAAACTCTTAACTATTGCACTGTTCCGATTTTGCCTTCTCTGTCTTCCTCCCTGTTCCCTTTTATTCTAGCCTATCAAAAATATTGGTACCCCTTTCGACTCAGGCCCAGAGCTCTGCTCCCTTTCTCCCACTTTTTTTTCCACTCACGAAATTTTATTGACTCCCCTACCTTGAGAGTCACCATTAATGATTTTCTGCCCTGTGTCCATGGTTCGTAAACCACCAAATCTTGATTCTTCCTTCTTAATGGGTCTCCAACCTGGTTTCTTCTGTCTCTGTCATCTACTTCATCTAGTACTTTATCATTATTTCATGTATAGGTTATCTGAAATAATTTCCTTCTGGTTCATCCTGCACATCACAGCTTGTTGCTAGGTATCTTGTACATTCTCACCCCAAACTTCCTTCTTTGACTTACTGTTTACTATTATACCTTAAACTCTGTGTTTAAAGCAGTTGACCAGTTTGTCTCTCATCCTCCTCATGCGTACTTTACTAGTGTATATATCCACTTGACATACACGTAGAAATTCTATGAACAGACGTATACACATAGACCAGTCAATGAGCAGACACTCTTGCCTGCCTTTTCTATGAAGGTTTTTGTCTAAATGATTCCTTTCCTGTGAGCTCCCTAGCATTGCTTTGTTGCATCATTAGCATAGTTTCATGTATGATTGTTCTTCAGCCGTATCGTTATTATTTTGAATGCTTTGTCAGCACTCTGATTGATATTCCTTTGTGTGACAGTGTCTTGCACATAGTTGTTACCCACATTATTATTAAACATTCAAAAAGTTGTTCCTTTATCTAAATACTAACTTTTATATTTTTGTTTCAATTTCTTTCATTTTAAACATTTCATTATTCTTGCAAAAAGTGTCAGTTTTCTAAAATGAAATCTTTAACCGGATACTCTAGTAAAATGCCAATCCTATAATTAACAGTGGATGTAAGAAAGAAGTGTTGGAGAGAAATGGTAACCATTTCTGTGGATTTTCCTTTAGGTTGACACCGTCAGAATTGTTCACATTCATTCTGTCATCATCCTCCGACGTTCTGATAAGAGGAAGGACCGAGTAGAAATTTCTCCAGAGCAGCTGTCTGCAGCCTCAACAGAGGCAGAGATATCCTTACTGATCAATAAGAAGCTTTGACGTGCTCTGGGGCTTTTGGGCTACACTGATCTGCTTGCTATAAATTTTCTTCCTGGAGATTGTTTTCCAGTTTTCCTACTTACCCTTAAGACCTAATTTTTTTGGTTAATCAGAATTTCTGTTTATCCTTTGAATGGCTTTTATCAGAAGAAAGAGAAATTTCTCACATTGCTGCTCCTAAATGCCTGAAGGCCCCAGGGTCAAATACTATGACAGTGAACTCTGTAAGGACTCAGGTCCTCCACACCCCCTCCCCTCCCTTCTCCATTCCTTTCTGTCGCTCCTTCCATTTTTGCTAAAGTCATGTAATTAATGTTTAGGCCACTCACTATCTTGATCTCTATTTGGGAGTTTTGGTCTTGAGACTTCCCCTCAAAAAAGTAGTGTTGAGAAGTGAATGCAGTATCCCATGATAAATAATCCAAAGAACGATCAAGTAAGACATGTGTTCCCTATACCTCACCTATAGCAGGTAAATGTGCATCAGTGCTTTTAGAAATTTACTGTTCTTTTGGATTAAGTCAGTCTTCTAGACAACTAAAAGTAGTTTTAAAAGTAGGAGGAAACAGGGGCTGGGGATTTAGCTCAGCAGCACAGCGCCAGCCTGGCAAGTACAAGGTCGTGAGTTTGATTCCCAGTACCGGAAAACAAACAAACAAAAAAAAAGTGGTAGAAAACAGATGTAGTAGAAACTTTACAAAGTGCAAAGCAGCATAAAGAAATAGGTGTTTCTCCAACCTGTGTGCCACAGCTCTTCCCTGGTCCCTTGCCAGATATAGCCAGGATATCAGTTTTGCATGTACCCTTACAGATGGATTCCGTAAGTACAGAAACATACATGAATATCCTCTGAAAATATTGGATACCTTCTCACCTACAGTATCCATCTTTTTTCACCTAACAATGTCTCTTGAAATTTATCAATTTCAGTATATAGAGCTGCCTTACCAGGCTTGCTTCCCCTATCCTCATGCAAATATTCAGGTTGTTTGTAAACTTGTACCCTGTTGCGTTTCACAAATGTGTGCTGATCTGTAGGATCAATTCCTAGAAGCAGGGCATTTTTATTTGTTCAGAATGCTTATTTTAAAGTTAGTTGAGGTTAAAAATCCCAAGTTTTCCAGTAAGTTGTTCATATCCACACATGTTAAATTCATTATTAGAAATGTATAACAAAAAATGAATCTGTAGGTAGTTTTACCTGAAAATATTATAAACACTGTATGTGACATCTATTTTATCAGCTCATCCCTTGCCATACATCTACCTATTCTTTTTATCTTTTTATGGACATGTGAAGGAACAATGTTATTTTCACTGCCCATGTCCTAGATTTTAGTTTCTGGACTTCATAGACTCAAAATTATTCATGTAGGCAATGATGGCGAACCTTTTAGAGCTGTCAGTGATAACAAATAGCCCACTGTCGCGAGTGTGCCATAGGTTCACCACCACTACCAGAGAGTATTTCTTCATGTCTGGTGAGAACTTTGCTATAAAAACTTTATTTTATAATCTTTTCTTAGAAATGTAAGAAAGGTATGAAATCTCCTAAGTTATGTGTGCAGCTTGTAGTTTCTTTAAAAACATTTTTAACAGTATTACAAATTAATTTTATCCGTAATACATATCCCTGCTATTCAGATAATTCTTTAAGCAATATTCAAATATATTTGTCCTTTGTGTGTTTACTTTAGATCCTACTTTTGAGCTTTCAATAAAACTATAAAGATTTCTCAAATATTTAATAGTGGAGGCAATGATAAAAATATACTACCACTGTGACATTTTCATTTTATGTATTTTCTGTCAGTTTGTATAATTTTCTGTTCTTCATGGGCGTTGATAGATTTTTATCTTTGTAGTCTCAACTCTGCTGCCTTTTCAGGCTAGTATAACAGTCAGTACATCTCAGGACTTCTGAATAACAGTGTCTGCTCTGCCATATCAGTTGTAACAGTAAAATCTTATAGGGTGTGGATGCATCATTTGCAGCTACTGCAACTGCAGGGCCTCCTTCTTAGCTGTTTCCAAGCAGCTTTTTACTGATTTTAACAGAATATGATTTTAGTTTATTTTCTTTTTCCATCTAGATAAAGGTTTAAAAGTAGCATATGTAACATGGCAATCTTGTCACTAGAAAGTGCAAGCTTTGACTGCCACTCAGAATCTTATAGCTGTGCAGGTGTAAAAAGCACTTTTTTGTAACGGAGCCTCCTGATCTCATCTTGTCTACTTCTTACATATTTCATCACATCACTTCTTGAGGACATGCTCAGTTCAGTTGATTCAGTTACTGAGGTGCCTCTTCATCCGATGAATATTTACCAACTGCAGATTTGAATGGTAACATCTTGTAGAATAAGGACCTATGCTACTGAATCCCAGGCATGCAGTCATCTTGGTAGAAAGCATAAGCCTGGCCACAAATGCTGGCATTTATTTGTGAAGAAGCTGCAAGTCCAGGAGGCTGGCAGCTTTTTGGCTCCTGACTCCATCCATGTGCAGAGCTGGGGCCTGGGTTACGTGACAGTGTCCCTTTCCCACAGTACCATGGCTCCCCATGAGACTCTCCTGCCTTAGCAGAATTTTGTAATGTTGCCAGTCTGGTCAGCAAAAGCTGTGTTTTATTTCTTCTTTTATCTTTTTGAGACAAGGTCTCGCTGCGCACTTCAGGCTGGCCTTGAGCTCACTTTGTAGCCCAGGCAGGCCTCAAACTCACAGTGTTCGGGGCTGGGGATTTAGCTCAGCGGCAAAGTGCCTGCCTGGCAAGTGCAAGGTCATGAGTTCGGTTCCCGGTACCGGAGAAAAACCTCACAGTGATCCTCCTGCCTCAGCCTCCCGAGTGCTGGGATTACAGGCGTGTGCCACCACGCCTGGCTCTTTTTACATTTTTAATACAGTGAGATTTATGAATCTGTAATGTATACCTTTTGCATCTTGATTTTTTAAAAAAATTTTTTAAATAATTGTAGATTCATGAGAACTTATTAAAATAATACTGGAAGGTCTCAGGCTTTAACTCAGTTTTCCCTGAACCGCTCATGTTACATAATTATAGTGCAATAGGAAAACCAAAAAATTGATGTTGCTACAATGTATATCATTCTGTGCTGTTTTCTCTCATGTGAAGTTACACTAATCACCCCAGTAGTAAGGACACAAAGCTGTTCTCTATAAAGACCTCCCTCTTGCTTCTTTTCATAATCACACCCACCTCCTCCGCTTCACTGCCCTTGGCTCCTGGCAACCACTAATCTGATCTTTGTCTCCTCATTAAGGGTTACATTTTGCTACTGCTTTGTATCCCGGGTATCCTTTTCTTACCCTTGGCCTTTTTCCTTGGTGGCTGGGTCCTTCTCTAGTGCTGGACTGATCCGTGCATGAGCTGTGTTCCAGGTGCTGGCTGTGCCTTGTAGACCGTTGGAACCTTTGGGGTCTCGCCTTGAGGGTGAGCTGCAGGTGCCCGAGCAGCTTGGTGAGGGAGTAACGTCCACAGCCCTGAGGCGAGACCGTCCCGAGGGCACTGCCCGGGCCCTGCGGGACGAGGCTTCCGGCCAACCAGGTAGGATGCTGCTAAACTCTTCTGGTGTAGAGTCATGTCCCAGACTCTGGGCAGTTACCTTTCACCCTTTTGAGGGGCAGTATGTTTTCCAGCCCCCAGGTAGGTACCTCACATGCTCGTCCTTACCTCCGATCTGCTGCACTCCTTTCTGAATGGGACTCACTGGGGATGTGCCAGGTTTGCTCCCGGTGCAGCGCTGTCCTCTGTGGCCCTCTGCCATGAAAACACCAGCCAACCAAACTCTCACCTGGTGCCCAGTCATGTCCCAGACTCTGGGTATCTCCCCGTCTCTTTCTTTCTTTCTTTCTTTCTTTCTTTCTTTCTTTCTTTCTTTCTTTCTTTCTTTCTCGTTCTTGCTTTTTCTCCTCCTTTTTCCCTCTGTCCCACTTGCCTATCTCCTCTCTTCTCTCTCTTCTCCTTTCTTTCCTTTCTGGCTGCCATGAGAAGAGCAACTTCGCTTACCACGTGCTCTCCGCCGTGATGTTTAACCTTGCCTCAGGCCCATGGGCCAAAATAAAACTTCATCTTGTTTTTATGTTTGTGATACTGAAGATTGAACCTTCAGTGTTTGCACTGAGCTCCATCCGCAGCCCTTTTTTATTTTGAGACAAGGTCTTACTGAGTTGCCTGTGCCGGGCTCAAAGTTGAAACCCTTCTGGTTTAGCCTACCCCAGAGTGTTGAGATTATAGGAGTGCGCATCATGCCCAGCCATCTGCTCCTTTTAAATTGTTTATCTCAGGGGTTTTGTCACAGTGAGGAAAGGTGGTGAACACAACTCCCTACTCTGTGGACTGGGAGTCTTCTCAAGACCTCCCCTCGTTTCCCATCTAACGGCCTTCCTTGCATGATGACAGTGACCTTGAAAATTGTTGCTTTGTGTATGTTGTCTAATTTCTTTGTTACCATCTTTTATTTTTTTTTTTTGTCTTTCTTGGCCAAAAGCAGAAAGCCAATTCAGGGATATTTACAAAACAAAAATAAACTTTCCCAAATAAACTTTCCAGGATGTAACTATAGAAAAACGTTTACTGTTGGGATTACATACTGTAGCTTCAAACTGAAACTAGTCCGCTTCCAGAATGGGTGGTGGGAGAGGCGCCACTTCTCTCGCATGTACTGAGCCACACGTCTCATGCGGGTCAGCTTCTTATTCTTCGCTGCTGTGCCAAGCATCGTCCCCTTCAGTCTGCAACTGAAGAAATAGGCTAAGAGAAGTTAAGTAGCTTCTCTTGGCATTTGAGCATGTAAAAATACATTTTAAAAGAGTTGTTCTTCATACCTAGTTTTATAAAAGAGGTTATTATGTTTTAATATAAGTAACTGGTAGGAAAACTAATCAGCTGTCTTATAGGCTAGCAGGAGTCGGCTCATCTCTGGGTAGCAAATACTGTCAAATTCTAGCCTAAGATAGTTATTGAAAATTTTTATTTCTACAACGAAAGTGGAAAACATCTTCGGGGTGATATTTCTAGACAAATGGGATGACTATAAACAGGAGGTGTGTGTTCATTTGGTCACTGAAACCACATCATTTGCTATTGTTAACATTGAGAACCTGCCACAGAAAAATGAATAAACAAATTCTTAGGGCGGGGGGTAACATTCAGGGTACAGTACTTGCCTAGCATCCGTGAGGCCCCTAGTTCAATCCTCAACACCAAAAATTAAAATAAAATAAAGAGCAAAACAACCTTCCATTTCTTTGCCAAAAGTGATATTAGACTGAAGTTACAGAGGACAGAAAATTCCCAAGTTGGTAATGCAAATGACTTCTGGTGGTTTTAACGAGCTTCTCTGCAGGTAAATAGTAGTTGGCATTTGAATGATCAAACGTTACCTAAACTGGATTAATAGTATTATGTATATTCTGGGTGTGGTGGTGTATGCCGGTAATTCCAGCACTCTGGAGGCTGAGGCAGAAGGATTGCTACAAGTTCAAGGCCAGCCTGGGCTACATAGTGAATTCAGGGCCAGCCTGGACTACACAGTGAGACCCTGTCTCAAAAACAACAAGAACAACAACAAAAACCCCAACAAGAATATTATATATATTTACATAATTATAATCCCAATTACATTACTGGAAACCGTATAGATTCTGTTACAAAAAACTAAGTATGCAATTAGTAGAAATTCTGAGCATCAACTTTATCTCATCCTGTTAAATTGTAACAGCTTTATTTTAAATTTCAGGACGCTTTCTGAGCCCTTATTAGCACATTTTGAAAATGCCTTGACAGACACACAGGTTGGCTGAAATAACAGGTCGACCCATGAGAGTTGTGGGCTGGTATCATTCCCACCCTCATATAACTGTTTGGCCTTCACATGTTGGTGAGTATTATAGGCTTGCAATATCAATTTAGCCTCAGAAATGAATATTCTTTTTCCTCCTCCTTACATAGGCCATGGTTATTTTAAAGCAAAATTTGACTATCCTTAAATGCTTTATTTTGATTTATGTTGCCATGTTTTAAAAGTAATGATGTGTCAAATTATTCTTAATAGTGAACAATAAAAGTTCAGCATCCAATTTTGACTGTATTTAAGCAATTAGGAGTAAAAGCCTGACAATCAGCTGGCATCTAAACATAATCAAAGGGCCAGGGACGTAGCTCAGTGGCACAAGCACCTGCCTGGCAAGTGCGAGGTCCTGAGTTCAATCCCCGGTACCAAAAAAAAAAAGTAACTGAACATTGCTGGCTAAATACCACTACTGTGCAGTATATTCTAAGACTCACAGGTGTTAAGGGTGAATTTTGCAAAGTTGGTTTTTATAATGTTTACACGATATTCAGTTTAGCTGTTGTGGCTCTCATAATTCAGGTTAGCACATCTTCACCCCTGTAATTAATATAATATAACTAAGCTGCTTTTTCTCTTGAACCTTACCTTTTTTGAGAATCATGGTTGATTTTTGTCTCTACCTGCCTTTCTAGAAAAAAGTACAATAACTGTCCTTAGGTAGAATGAATTTTTTACCTTCATGAGCACTGATAGTTAACTGTGTGGTAATGGTTTACAAATGTTCCCTCTGATCTTTCTAGTAACCTGTGGGTTAGAGATCTCCCCGCTTTGTGTGGAAGGTACACAGAGGCTCACGTGGGTTAAGTAAGCGGCAGAGCTGAGGTTTGACCCAACATTGTCTGTCACTAAGCACATTGTTTAGTTCACTTTTTTTTTCCTTAAGAAAGATTTCTATGTGATGTAAGTTCATTAATTTGTATTCTAGTTTAAGCTCCTCATCGCCAGATGAACAACAGGTAACAAAAATGTTCACAGACCTGCTCTTCTGAGTAGCACTGTTTTAAGACAACCAAGTTGAAGTGTCTAATAGACGATTGGGTAGATAGTTCTGGAGTTCTGGAGTTTGTTCAGCGTGAATTGGGAGTGGCCACTGAAGAGATGGAAGGTGATACCATGGAGCTGGATCAAATCTCTCAAGGACTGATGGTGAAAAGATAGAAGGACTAAACACTGAGCCCTGGCTGTGCCGGTATTTCAAATGCAAAGATTAGAAGATCTAGCAGAAGAGACTGGGAAAGATCAGACAGGAAGTTAAGAGGCGCAGAAGTAAGAGTGAAAGTATAAGGCCAAGTGAAGACAGTGTTTCAGGCAGGATTGAATCAGCTGAAAGATCAGGTAAATCAAGGACCAAAAGTAGATCATCAGTGACCTTGACAAAAGCAGTCTGGGTGATATGAAACACAGTAACTGTTTTCAGTGGCAGTGGATGAAATGGAAAAGAACTAGTGTTTATGAAGTATCTTTGATGTTTTAGGTACTGTGTTAAAAAATCTCATAATTTTTAAAAGATATGATCTGTGAGAGAAAGGATGATATTTATCCTTGTTTAACTGATGAGGAAACAGACTTACAAATATTAAGAACTTTATCAAGGTCACATACAGAGACCATTTATAGAATCTTCTATATTTTCAGCAACAGTTTGAGCAAGTATTTCTTTCTTTCTTCCTTCTTTTGGACTGGGAATCGAACTCAGGGCCTCACACTTGTCAGGCAGACACTGTGCTGCTGAGCTATATCCCTGCCCCAAGTATTTCTTTCATATGCACTGGTTTTTTTTGTTTTGTTTTGTTTTGTTTTTTTTGGTGCCGGGAATCGAACTCAGGACCTTGCACTTGCCAGGCAGGCACTTGTACCACTGAGCTAGATCCCCAACCCCAATATGCACTGTTGTGTCCTGCTTGGTTTCAGTTTTCACTTAGGAAGACATGGACAGGAAGTCTCAATCCAGATCAAAAAGATATAAATGCGAAGAATGTTTTAAGAATGATTTGCCAAATGGAAGGCACCAGACCCAGTTGTGCTCTGCAGTGTTTTGTTATGATAGCTTATCTTCTCTACCCTTCATAAACAACAGCCTGAGCATTTCAGCCCTTTAAGTTTAGCTTCTGTTTATTTTGGATATTTTATGTCTTGATAAGTCATTTCAAATGTTGTTATTTGATGCTTACTTTTTAATCTTTTCAAAAATGGAGTAGCTTTTAAATAGTGGGCTTTTATTTCTATTCTTGGGGATGTTGAATTCAACTATATTGCAATCAATTCTATATAGCGGCTTCCTCTAAGAATTTGCTCCAAAATAGTTCTATACTTCTATTCTTTAGTAACAAGTGTAGTCATTGTCCTAGAAGCTGTCCACTAAAAGGGTTTCCCCCCCCAGGAAATATTTTTGTCTCCCTCCTTTGGAGGAAATTATCAAGTTGAGGGGGAGTCTATAAAGTTTTCAGTTTCTTTTAATGCTACATTTCATAGCAAGGCTACTCTAGGCAACCTACAGTTATGAACACTTTATTACCTAGTAGCAAACTTTTTATATTTTCTTAACCTAGCAAAATGTTTGTACTATGACAATTATATTGTCCTTATGGTAGATTCCTGTATTACCTATACAACTTGAATTCTGGAAGGTCTGTATGCCATTATTATCTTTAAAATCAAGCATGCAAAATACACTTTACTGACAGAACATTTTTATTTTCAGATGTTCGCACACAAGCCATGTACCAGATGATGGATCAAGGCTTTGTGGGTCTTATTTTTTCCTGTTTCATAGAAGATAAAAACACAAAGGTAGCACATGCGTGTGTGTGTGTGTGTGTGTGTGTATGTTTATATACAGAGTAGAGAAAAATCTCCTTGCAGTGTAATGGGGTGACCAGGGAAGGTATCATTGAGAAGGGCTATTGAGTCAGTATCCAAAGAAAATGAGGGTGCAAGTCTTATAGATTTCTTAGCGGAGGAATATTCCAGGCACCGAAGACTGAAAATAGACCCGTCTATCACCATGCACCAAACTCAAGTCAAAATGGATCACAGATCTCAATATTAAAACAGAAACACTAAATCGACTGGAAGAGAAAGTAGGTAAAAATCTTGAAGACGTAGAGGTAGGCAGAGAGTTCATGAACAAAAACCAAACTGCCTGTGAAATACTTCAAAGAATCAACAGCTGGGATCTCATCATACTGACAAGTTTCTGCACATCTGAGGAAATCAGCAGCAGAGTAAACAGAAAACCCACAAATTGGGAACAAATTTTAGCTGACTGTCCCTCGGAGAAAGGTCTTCTATCTAGAACATACAAAGAATTAAAAAAAAAATCAGCCCCCCCAAATTCAAACACCCAATCCAAAAATGGGCAGCTGAGATGAATACACACCTCTCAGATAAAGAAATACAAATGGCAAATAAATACATGAGAAAGTGTTCAATATCATTAGTCACTCGAGAAATGCAAATTAAAACAACACAGATAGGGGCTGGGGATTTAGCTCAGCGGCAAAAGCGCCTGCCTGACAAGCGCAAGGTCGTGAGTTCGGTTCCCGGTACCGGAGAAAAACCAAAAAACCAAAAAAAAAAAAAAAAAAAAAAAAAAAAACAACACAGATTCCATCTCACCCCAGTAAGAATGGCTAGCATTAAGAAATCAGCCAATAGGGGGCTGGGAATTTAGCTCAGTGGCAAAAGCGCCTGCCTGGCAAGTGCAAGGTCGTGAGTTCGGTTCCCGGTACCGGAGAAAAACAAAAAACAAAAAAAAAAAAATCAGCCAATAACAAATGCTAGTGAGGCTGTGGAGAAAAAGGAACTTCCCCACTGCTGGTGGGAATGCAGACTGGTGAAACCACTGTGGAAATCAGTTTGGAGATTCCTCAGCAAACTTGTTACAGAGGTCCCATTCAACCCAGCTATTCCCCTTCTGGGTATTTTCCCAGAAGATCTGAAAACATATCACAGTGATATATGTGCACCCATGTTTATAGCAGCACAATCTGTCATAGCTAAATTGTGGAAGCAACCCAAATGTCCATCCACTGAGGATTGGATAAGAAAATTGTGGTACTTTTATATAATGGAATATTACTCAGCTATAAAGAAAGATAAACTGGAGGCTTTTATAGGCAAATGGTCACAACTAGAGACCATACTCATAAGTGAAATAAATCAGACCTATCTATATTTGTTTACCTCAGTAACCACTTTGAAGATACCAATATGTAATATGACAACCATTGTTAATATCCTACCACTTTGCCTGGAATTCAGTATTGCTTGTATTGCATTTGTGTTATTTTGTAAATGTATGTGTGTTTGTTAATATGTTTTTGTTCCTTTATTTTGAAAATAAAAAAAAGAATTTTCCAGGCAGAGGAAGTAGCCAGTGCAGAGACCCTAAGTGAGTGTGGCATGTCTAGGGAACACTGAGGAAGTTGGTGCGGCTGCCTCAGAGAGAGTCAGTTTTGCAGTGTTCTCCCAGCGCCCTGATGGGTTGCCCCCTTTTCCTCTTGGAAGTATCCCCGTTTGGATGATAACTCGTTTGATGGTGCCCCAACAGACTGGGTGGGGGTGGGCGGGGATAGAGTCCGTGGCATCAGTGAAAGCATTCCGGGAGATGCTGCGGTAATCTGGATGAGAGTTGATGGAAGTTTGACCACGGCGATAGGAGTAGAGACAGTCAGAAACACTGAAGTTCAATCTTTTAAACTTTATGCTTCATTTCTGCCTTGTCACCATAATTTTATTTATTTATTATCATCACAAATAGTTGTTAAATGAGTTTGTTGGCTTCCAGCATAGCAGTGTGAATGTTGTGGTTCTTACATTTGCTAGCAGTTCTGTCACATGAGCAGATATATGTCACTGTGACCATTTCATGTTGATTCTTCTTACAGAAATTGATTGTGCCATCTTTCACCTTTAGAATCTCCTTTAACTTTCTACTTCCAGAAGGACCTGTGGGGTTTTAGGGTCTACTAAATTGCTATGAAATTTCGAACACAGTTCATGGCAATGAATAAAGGTTGAAGAGATAGAAATACTTGCCTTTCTCATTATTATACATCGTATACATATGTTGATATTGCTGTATTATATTATATATCATATGTAATGTGATATATTCATATTACTATAATATATTCTATAAAGATGTACAAATACTGTATGTCCAGTAATCATTTTTAAACAACACCAAAAATTAATCCTCCTTTGTGTAACATTTTTTTCCTTCTTTTTTAATAGACTGGCCGGGTACTGTACACTTGCTTCCAATCCATACAGGCCCAAAAGAGCTCAGAGTAAGTATGACAAAGACTTGTATATGGTGGTTGGGTAATTTTTGGTCTGAGGAATTGTTTTGTTTCATTTTATTTCTGTTACTGGTAAGACACGAGCAACTGTATTTCTAATTATACCATTGACATCTATACAAAGAATTAGAATCTTTATAGCAGTTTAGATAATCAGGGTCTAGGGCTGGGATCGTATAAATAGTCTCTTCCCTATAATGACATCACAGTCTTGTTCCACATATTCTAAGTGATTTGCACTACTAGTTTTTCTCTCAGATGAACAGAAAGATGGAGACTAAATTTGCAGAGTGTTACAGGTTTTTATAAATTCTCTGCTATGCCATAGACTTCAGAATTATAGTATCTCACTGAAATGTTTGGCTAGGTTAATTTCTTAAGTACAATTCAACTTAAGTTAGCCAATCATAATTGAGTGTTTTCTATATGCCAAGCGCTGTGGCAGGCACTGAGGAAATAAAAGCCAGGCTCATTGTAGAATTGGGAAAATGAAAGAAATATCTTAAACATTTATTTTTCTTGTAATATTGGTTGATTTATTATGGCATTGTTCAGAATAACAGAATTCGGGAAAAACTTAGATGTTTATCAATACAAAGCTAAATAAATGAATTATAAAGAATTTATATAATGGAATAATATGCAGCCTTAATAAAGAGCTTTGAGGAATCTTAGTATTATTAAAAAGGCAGTGTATAAGCTGAGGATGTAGCTCAGTGACATAGCACCTGCCTGGCAAGCGCAAGGTCCTGAGTTTGATTCCCGGTACCGAAAAAAAAGGCAGTGTATATAGCATGTGCAAAGGTGTGGAAGAGGATTAGATACGGCTGCATATTTGCTTGTAGATACAGAAGTATCGAAGGAAACATGTGAGTCACTTCAGGAGACATTAAGTGGGTACGAGGGGACTAAAGGTGCCCTTTACGTGGCTTTAGAATATGGAATCATATGAAAGTGTTTTCTAATCAAAATTTTTAAATTTTTCACCAAACTAATAGCTATGTAATGCATAAAATAATATCAAATGGTTTATAATAAATATTCTCACTCCTCAAAAAAGAATCACTTCCATTTCCCAACTTCGTTTTTGGTTCTTCTGATATTTCTTTGATAGCTCTAAATAATATGCTTATGCTCTTTTTTTGGGGGGGGGGTATGGGGAATTGAACCCACAACCTCATGGTGCTGTGCCACCGAGCTATGTCCCTGACCTCCTTATACTCTTTCTTTTTTTTTTTTTTTTTTTTTTTTTTTT